CATGCAGGAGGCACATATATATATATGTGTATATATATATATATATAGATATATATATATATATATATATATGTATATATATCTGCCCTCAAGAATTTGAAATCTTCCCCCACTGACTTCACTGGCTAGACCTTCCAGACAAAAAATTAACAAGGAAACAGTGACTCTAAATTACACACTGGATCAGATGGACTTAATTGACATTAATAGAACATTTCACCCCAAAGCTGCAGAATGTACATTTGTCTCAAGTGCACATGGGTCATTCTCAAAGACAGACCACATGTTAGGATACAAAACAAGTCTATAAATTCAAGAAGATTGAAATCATATCAAGAATCTTCTCAGATCACAATAGAAAGAAATTAGAAATCAACTACAGTAAAAACATATGGAGGCTAAATAGCATGATATTAAACAATGAACAGGTTACCAATGAGATCAAGAAAGAAAGAAAAAACTTCCTGGAAACAAATGAAAATGAACACACAACAATCAAAGCCTAGGGACACAGCAAAAGCCCTGAGAGGGATGTTTATAGCACTACAGGCCTATCTCAAAAAACAAAGATTAATAATAAGCTATTTAACCCTACAACTTACAGGTATAGAAATAGAACAAGAAAAGCCCAGAATAAGTAGAAGGAAGGAAATAATAAAGATTAGAGCAGAAATAAATAACAGACAAAAAAAAAAAAAAAGTACAAAAGATTAAACCAAGAGCTGGTTCTTTGAAAAGATAAACAAGATTGATGAACCTTTAGCCAGACTCATCAAGAAGCAAAGAAAGAGCCCTAACTGGTTTGGCTCAGTGGCTAGAGTGTCGGCCTGTGGACTGAAGGGTCCCAGGTTCGATTCCGGTCAAGGGCATATACCTTGGTTGCGGGCACATCCTCAGTAGGGAGTGTGCAGGAGGCAGCTGAATTGATGTTTCTCTCTCATCAATGTTTCTAACTCTCTATCCCTCTCCCTTTCTCTCTGTAAAAAATCAATAAAATATATTTTTTAAAAAAAGAAACAAAGAAAGAGGACCAAAATAATTAAAATTAGAAACAAAAGTGAAGTAACAACTGACATTACATATATACAAAGGAACAACTATATGCCAACAAGCTGGGCAATGTGGGTGAAATGTACAAATTCCTAGAAAAATACAATCTTCCAAAACCAAATTGGGAAGAATTAGAAAACACGAATAGACCAATAACAATTGAGAAAACTGAAGCAGTAATCAAAAAACTCCCAGCTAATAAAAGGCCTTGTGCAGACAGTTTCACATGGGAGTTTAACCAAACATTCAAAGAACTACTAACATCTGCCCTCCTCAAACTATTCCAAGAGGAAGGAATACTTCCAAGCTCTTTTTATGAGGCTAGCTTTCACTTAATTCCAAAACCAGCTAAAGACACTACAAAGAAAGAACTACAGGCCGATATCCCTGATGAACATAGATGCTACAATCTTCAACAAAATATGAGCAAACTGAATCCAGCAATATAGTAAAAAGATCGTAGACCATAACCAAATATGATTTATACCAGGGATGCAAGGCTGGTACAATATTCACCAGTCAATAAACATGATACATCACACAAACAAATGAAAGACAAAAATCACATGATCATATCAATCGGTGCAGAAAAAGCACTCGACAAAATCTAACACCTATTTTTGATAAAAACTCTCAGTAAAGTGGGAATAGAGATCATACCTCAACATACTAAAGTCCATATATGACAAACTTACAGCCAACTTCATACTCAATAGGCAAACACTATGACCATTTTCCCTAAGAACAGAAACAAGACAGGGATGTCCATTTCAACACTCCTGTTAGACATAGTTCTGGAAGTCCTGGCCATAGTGATCAGACAAGAAATAAAAGGCATCCAAATTGGAAAAGCGGAAGTAAAACTGTCATTATTCACAGATTACATGATATTGTACATAGAAAAACCTAGACTCCACCAAAAAAAACTAAAGGAATTCAGCAATGTAGCAGGATACAAAATTAACATCCAGAAATCTATGGCTTTTTTATACACCAATAAATTCTCAGAAAGAGAAACTAAACAAATACAATTTACCTTAGAAACAACAACAACAAAAATTAAGAAACCTAGGAACAAACTTAACCAAGGAGGTAAAATATTTGTATTCTGAAAACTACAGGATGTTGAAAAAGAGATAGAGGAAGATATAGATATAAACATGTAGAAGAATATACTGTGTTCATGGATTAGTAGAATTAAAATGTCCATACTACCCAAAGCAATCTATAGATTCAATGCAATCCCTATTAAATTACCAAGGCATATTTCACAGATCTAAAAAAACAACAACAAAAAAACTCCAAATTTTTATATGGAACCAAAAAAGACCCTGAATAGCCATAGCAATCTTAAGAAGCACATTGGACAGATACATGCAAAAAAATGAAACTAGATCACCAACTTACACCATACACAAAATAAATTCAAAATGGATAAAAGACTTAAATGTAAGATGTGAAACCATAAAAATCCTAGAAGAAACCATACACAGCAAAATCTCAGACATCTCTTGTTTACCAATACATCTCCTCGGGCAAAGGAAACTAAGGAGAAAATAAACAAATGGGAATACATCAAAATAAAAGCTTCTGCACAGCAAAAGAAACCAACAAAATGAAAAGAGAGCCCAATGTATGGGAGAACACATTTGGCAATGATACATCTAATAAAGGGTTAATATCCAAAATATATAAGGAACTCATACAACTGAACAAAAGGAAAACAATCCAATTAAAAAATGGGCAAATGACTTAGACAATTCTCCAAAGTGGACATACAGATGGCCAAGAGAAAGAAAAATGCTCAAAGTCACTGATCATCAGAGAGATGCAAATTAAAACAACAATGAGGTATCACCTCACACCTGTCAGAATGGCTACAATCAACAAATGACAGGTGCTGGCAAGGGTATGGAGAGAAGGAAACACTAGTATATTGCTGGTGGGAATGCAGACTGGTACAGCCACTGTGAAAAACAGTATGGAGTTTCCTCAAAAAATTAAATATGGAACTGCCATTTCACCCAGTGATCCTACTTCTAAGAGACTCAAAACACTTATCAGAAAGGATATATGCACCCCTAGATCACAGCAGCACAATTTACAATAGCTAAGATCTGGAAACAGCCCAAGTGCCCATCAGGAAGATATAAACAAGCTGTGGTACATTTACATCATGGGATACTATGCATCAGTAAAAAGGAAGGATCTCTTACCTTTGAGACAGCATGGAGGGACCTGGAGAGTATCATGCTAAGTGAAATAAGCCAATCAAAGAAAGACAAGTATCACATGATCTCACTCATATATGAAATCTAATGAACAAAATAACCTATTGAACAAAATAGGTCCAGAGACATAGTTGCATGGAAAAGACTGTCAAATCTCAGAGGGAAGGTGGGGGAGGGTGGGTGTATGGGAAGAGATCAACCAAAGAACTTGTATGTATATATGCATAACCCATGGACACAGTAGGGTGGTGGTGTGCTATAAGGGGTCAATGGGAGAAAAAACAGGACATATGTAATACTTTCAACAATAAAGATTCTTAAAATAAGTAAATAGATTTTTTTAAAAAAAGAAGTAGAGCATTCTACACTGCCATTTATCATGAAAGGTTGAATGCATTCCCCATGGATTAACTGAACATGTGGAAGGCAGCTAGATTTGAGCTACTTTGCTAGCAGCACCTGCTTCAGGGGGGCTGACTGCTCAGTAAAGAATCCAGCACCAAGATGATGTGGAATAAACAGCAAAGGGAGGTAACTAGGGTGACACGAGAAAATGTCAACTCACAACCAGATTTCCCACATCAGGGACCTATGCATTGGTTAAAGCGAGGAAGTTATGAAAGCTGCCAAGATGCCATTAAGTTGTGGACAGTGACAGAAAAAAAAAATTCACGTTGCTCTCACACACAAAATTGAAACTTTCAAGAAATTGGTATGTAACACCAGAACTGTCTTTTTCATTTAAAAATAATTACTATAGCTTTTGAAATTTTACCAACCTACCTTTGGTGAAGAGTGCAGATGAAGTACTTTTGGCAGATGCCCACAGATTGTCTCTTTTATCTTTGGGTTTGCCGTGATCAACTGATGTGAAGTTTCGAGATGTATTTTGTGAAGGAGCTGCTTTAGGATCACGTTTCCGATAACTGGTTTTAAGTGTGTCCAGTAAAGATGTCTCTGTTTTCTGTATTGGACAACAGAAATGAATAAAGTCATTGTTAAATGTCAGTTTTATTTATTACAGTGTAGCAACTAGTAGAAATAACACTGGAATCAACTAGAACTTACCCCAAATTTATTATTCATTAGATAACTTTGAATAAATTACATAATAATTAGAATTTGACATCTTTATGAGATAAATGAGCAAGGAACAAGAGAAGGAGAAGAGGGAAAGTGCACAAAACTCCATGGCCCTCTTAACTGCCTTACTTAGTTACCTGGACAATAAAGCTAATGTGAACATACTTGGTGAACACCATGGATAGCATACAACCCATTGCTTTATCTTGGTACATAGTAGGGACTCACCCATTTGTTGACTGAGTGAATGATGAATCCCATGGAAGTTCTGAAGGAATAGAATTACTTAAAGCATTTCTGGGGGAGCTACAACATAAGCCAGGCAACAAAATAGATTCCATTCCCCAAGAGGAGTATTTTTTATCTGGGTATATTTGTAACATTTACAACTTTAGAATTGAAAGAGATTCTTAACCTTAATATTTAACGTGAACACACTTTCTGGCTCAAATATATATTCATGTGAAAGTGGCAGAATTAGACACTTGAAGTGGCCCAATATGCTTTTACAACTTCACTGATGGCTGTTATTTTTAAAGAACTTGGTATCTTTTAAGAGGTCTCACTGGAAAAGAGCATAGAAGATTTCAAAGTTGCTTTGATGTCATAACCACTCTTACTCAATTGTTTTCACAGACCATAAACAAGACTGAAGAATGTCCGTCTGAAACTTTGCCTTGAATGAAGAGACTTCATTGAACAAGAAGTTGGCTTCCAGTTTGCACAGGCGTCAATGGAATGCTTTTTTCTTTTTTAATTTTGTACTTTACCCAACGAAAACAAAGCGTTTTGTGTGCTGTGCAAATGGGTCCTTCATGTGGTCTGACAGTTTATTTTTGCCATCATTTTTTAAATTAAAGTAAAAAAAAAAAAAACAAAAAAAAAACCAGAAGAGGAAAAACAACAAAAACAAAACATGGAAGGTTGACATTTGATCTGGAAGAACATTTGAAGTCAGAATTGACCTGAAGGTGTAGATAGATTTTTTTTTTCTTTTTAATAGAAAATCGGATGTCAAGAGGTGGGCAAGCAGAAATGGAAAGAAATTGTCTTCCTCGGTAATTAAGCTACTCTTTATTTTTTTTCCTTCTTGTTTAAATGTGGGTTGTTTTTTTATTTTTTCTTAGAAATATTTAGGTAAGGTTTATCTTGAATCTTAATTGCCTTAATTTTAAGGACGTCAAAGGCTCTCGAGGCAAGCTGTCAACGTCTTGTTAAAAAAATCAAGAAAGAATTGAAATATTGTGCCAGCTTTAACTGGTACAGAAGCTTAAGACTCTTGAGTTTTTAGGGTGAAAAAACTGTACAGTTTAAAAGAAAATGTTTTTCTTCATTTGAAGAAAATTTGTTGATAAAAGAAACCATGGCAACTGCGAGAATTGGAAAAATGCTGGGACTTTTCATGAACTTTGTCTTAAGTGTTGACCCATTCTAGAAGGCTAAAACATTTTATGGTAAAGTTATTAAGGTTGGTTTAAAAAACAACTGCATTAGAAATAATGCGTGTTTGGGGGGCAGAATGCAGATTTTTTTAATTTACAAAGCGTGATTGCTAGCAAAAGCATTAGTGCTTTTTATCTGCAGTCTTTTTTATGAGCTTTACAAAGTTTTTAGTCAGCTTTGCTTGTCACATTGCAAAACCTAGCTTAAGAGCATTAAAAAAAAAACCACACAAAAATCTTAAGTAGATAGGAGCTTATGGTCAAAAGTGCAAAACAAAACAAACAAAAAAATACAAAAAAAGCAATAGATAGAGAAATTGTTGACAATTTCTGTAGTCTTTCCTAGTTGTGATCAAATTCAGCCTATGGATGGCCTATTTTATACCAAAGATGAAGTGGCACCCTATTGCAGTCCAGAAGATAGAGGTCATTTTTCTTTACTTTTCGTTAAAAATTTTTATTTGACCTACATGGCCGGACCAGTTCTTACTTTGTTTGTTTGTTTAAACTACCTTCCACTGGTGTTTTACATACTGCAAAAAAAATTTTATTTTTAATATTTGTTGTTAGTAGAAGCTTGCTCCTGCTGTGTTCAGCCGTTTCAGCATGAAGAGTTCTGGATACCAACTGACAGAGCCAAATGGCTTTCAATTCCATGAGCTTTTCCAGTTCCTTGCTAGCTCCCTTGAATAGTGAAACCTATATGGATGGCCACCAGTAAGCTAAGACACTTTTTTTAACAGGTTGAAATTTCTTTTTTGTGAATTTTGAATGAAAGATACTTCCTGAACCTGGTCTGAAGAGTCACTTGTCCAAAAAAAAGAAAGCATAGTGATATTCTGTTAAGTGGTGAGTGGTCTCCTGAAAAGGTCCCATTGTATTAGTAACAATAGTCTTCCTTCTAAATTCCAACACCTCTTGATTTTGTCTTTGCACCTTAGTCTTTGTCATCATCCACAATGAATAGGCACCTTGATTCTGCAGTGGGGAAGGGATAGCTTCTTTTTGCCTTTTTTTTCTCATTATATTTTCATATCCTGGTATTGTCAGAAGAAAGACAATAGACCTTTTTATTTCAATTTAACTCTGAGAAAAGTAGGACCAATAAGATTGAGGATTCTATTAGTGGAATTTAGGTAAGCTTTTAAAATGCTAGTTGACAATCAAGAAATTATTATTTATATTCATAAGAACCAAAACAATTGGGTTTGATCAATCATTAAAGCCAAAGGAGATATATTTGCATTGAGCATGATGCAAAGCTGTCTCTAAAATGAATTGATGGAACAAACATTCCTGCATATTTGGTTCATGAAATCCATATTCAACCTATACAGTTTTACCTGAAACTAAGGACAATGAAACTTTGTTCATTGGACCATGCCCTAGAATTGCTTTTTGAATGCATCATTAGAATCAAATAAGTGAAACTCTTTTCACAAACTAAGTCATAGGAACCTGTCTTAGTCCAGAAGAAGAGGGAAATGAATTAAGTGCACTGTAAAAGAAAGCAGAGTTGGCTTTTAAAAACTATTTAAAAATTAAAGGATAAATCTTTTTTTCCATTATATCAACATGGGTAGTGAGTTTGACTCACACGAAAGTATCAATATTTCACTATTTATGACCTACAAACAGAAGCCCAGTGTTGAAATAGATCTGGTTCTCTTATTTGCAACACCATGTATTGGAAACTCAAATTTAGAGAGTGACTCCATATCTTTGTGATCAAATTAGAGGCAAAAATATATCCAAGAAAACGTAACATGCTACAGAGAAATTCGAACTGGTCACACCCATCCTTATGTTTTTCCATGCTTTAGAGAGAATCCTAGTTTTCCGCTCCCTCTGTTCCATCCTTCAGCCTCTTCTGTATTTTAAGGGTGGCCCTTAAGTTTTATCTTTGAGAAGTGGGCCCCTAAATTTCAGGGGGTATAAGCAAACATGTATGGGAACTGTATTTGTCCTCTTTCTTTTTCTCACTGTCTGAACTCTTTGTATAAATAAGGATTATCCTGGGCATAATTCATTTGAATATGAAACCAACATGCTTTCTTTTGTTTCTGTAAAAAAAAAAATTAATGTGATACAAAGAAAGTCTCATTTACACAACCAACAATGAGGCTAAGAGGTAGCTACCATGTGGCTGATGAATGTGCCTAGGTAACTTCCTGTTTCTATTCAAAACTACTGCTTTATTTATACATTCAGAAACATTTTTTTCAACTATGAAATTTCCATGATCTCAATTTTTTTTTTAAGCCACTTCAGGCAAAAGGAAATTACCTATAATTTTATGTATCCATGTGTGTTTTGTGTTTGGATTTTTTATATCATGCCATTCTATAAAATACCTTATTTCAAGTCAAGAAGGAAAAAATGGCACATGTTCAAATTTGCATCTGTCATCTTACCTAATTGTTTTTTAAGAGTCATGTCTGGGGAGGGGCGGGGGTGGGAAGCATCAACAGGTAAGCAGCGTTACATTGTATTAAAAATAAAACAACCCAAAATCTGTGTTCAATACATGCAGACATCACAATCCTAATTTAATCAACAATAGTTATGTTGGTTATTTTAATCCTATTTACGTCTGTAATTTTTTTTTAAGTATTCTAGTTCACCAGGGTTTCAAGCATTTATTTCGGTGTTCAATTTTTCCTTTCAATTTTAATTGTCAACACTTAACCTAAATATTAGAAATCAAACTAAAGCCAGAATCTAAATGGGATAAACACTATCTCATCCAAACTCTAGTAACAAGAACACTGGAGGAGGAGGTGGTTTTATTTTTGTTTTAAATAATGATAAGGTATTGTCGGGGTGACAAAGTATGCCTAGTGACTGGGGGCTCCTCAGTGCATGGCCAGGTCTCCTGAAGGTGTCATGGACCCTATGGGAACTCAGTGTGATACTAGCAGGGGCTGATGACCATCCTTGAACATTGCCATGTCTTGAATATTGTGACATAATAATCTAAAAAAAAAAAATCCCCTGACTCCAGTTTGGTCAGGGTTAGTTTGTTTCCTTGGTAGATTTCAATTGTCCAGGTGTTGTCTCCATGCTTCACTTGAATCAATTCTTCCTGTGACCTTAATGGATCTGCCACATTTGACAGCATGTAAGACTCACCTTAAATCTTTTCTAATGAAAAACTACACGGTGTTAAAAGCACTCACCTTAGAGCAGGAAGGCCAAGAGTAGCAGGTGGATAGAGGAAGTAGGAAGTTCACTGTACCTACAGAATACATCAATCTTTTGCAACACTGCTTTAAAATTATTTTCAATTAATGTGTGACCAAAAAAAAACTTCTATTTTTTCCCAAAAAAACTTGTTTTGAATAATTGGGATGCCATCAAACACCTATGTACCTTTTAGAGTGGTCTAAAATCTCCGCTAGTGAAAAGTGAGATTTGATTTAAATAGGACTTTTGCAGTCTTTTTCACGATTGAGAAGTTTCAATGTGCTGTCTAGACAGATTATAATGTTAGTAGGAGACTAAAAATACATTTGACAATCGAGTCATGCTTCATTTGAGCACACAAACCACTGCAGATGAGCTGATAAGCAGAGGAAAATTCTTAAGTGGGTTTCAGTGATAAATGTTTTTATGTGATATGAAAGGATAATATTTATGTATGTGTAGTACAACATTCAGCACTTTTGAGGGTCACTTCAAAATAAAGTTAAAACATGTCATGGAGCCCTTGATCTGTATTATCTTGTCCACAGTAGGGAGTGAAAGATGAGATTTTGTTTTCCTTATTGTGGCTGGCATGCTTCCAAATTTGGAGCTCACTGGGACTGACAGCCTCTCACTGCAATCCGAGGGACTGATGTAATGGAAACAGGCTCATTGATTCTGTACACTATCCCCTTCCTGTGGCAGAGTGATAGTGGCATTTCATTAATGAATCAATTCATTTTACAAATGACATCCACTGTGGCAGTGGAGGACAGTTGAGTCTAACTCACATTTAATAATTTCCACCAAATATATTTAAATATGTAATTAGTCTTTTCATCCAAATGCTCTTGGTCATGGCTGTCCTTTGTAGATTACATAGTTCAGGAAAGTACAAAAGCTAAATGTAAGATCCCTGAGTGGCCCCCAAAATCGTTTATGATACAGGGTAGGGAACTCACCCCAGATTGTCGACCTCTTTTATCGTTGGTTATATACCCCAATACATATACATATTCATTCATTCTCTCTTCTCTCTCTCCTCTCTCTCTCCTCTCTCTCTCTCTCTCTTTCTCTCTCTCACACACACACACACACAGGATGGATGGCTTCTCAATATTCATTTCTTTGTATTTTGGGGAGGAAAAATGATGTTTCAAGAAATGCTTCTTTCCCTCAGAAGCATTAAAGCTGAAGCAGAGATGAGATCAAGCTTGGAATCTGCAGGAAGAACCACTAGGCCACTGAGTCGCACTTTTCTTCCTTTTTATTCACTCCAGTTAATAACCACCCCATGACCAAATCTTACAGAAATACAATCACTCTCAATTTTTGAAGGGCTAATTATCTACTTTGTGCATTTCTTTTATATTTTCTTTTCAACTATTAGGACTTGGGGCTTGAGTGATTTTTGTTTTTTGGTGTGTTTTTTTTTAACATGCCACCCTGAGGGTGGAAAAAGAAACAATTGGAAGTAAAATTCAAATTAGTCTATTTTGCTCTTTGTTAAGTATTGGTTTATTGAAGGAGTTTGAAATCATTTGTAAAAATTAATGTCAGAGCATTACATAGCATTGATTTTTTTTTATTACCCATGGTGTCCCTTTCCCATCCACCACAAATAATTGAGAGTTGACTGTATTCTTGCAGAACATAAAGAAAAGAGGAAAAAAAAACTGTAGCCAAGAATTTGGCTTCCCTCAAAAGAAAGCTGTTTCGGTTTCGTTCACCTTTGAAACTTGAACCAGTAGAAAAGGTCAACTCAAAATTCAGTTATGAAAATATAACTGCTCTTAAATACACACTTATCCCCATCTTAAATCTTTCACGCAAAAAAATTTTTTTTAACTTTGCAGTAATGTGTTAAGGCTGAATGACCTTGACATTCCAGTGGATTTATTTAAATAATCATTTCAAATTTAAATAGTGTCCAAAGTGTAACTTTTCTGTTACACTTTTTATTTTAGACCCTCTGGTCTTAGATTATTAAGATGCTCTGTCCTCCCTAAATGCTATTCCCTCATATATAAAAAAGGAGTTATTCCATACTTTTCAGGAACTGTAAATACTATTTCAAAAAGACACTTGAAAAAGTTTTCTCCATTCTGGAAATCAATGCTTTCATTTCCTTAAAAAGAAGAATTGGAATATTAATTCAAAAATATATAGGTAAAAGTGTTCTTGCTATGAAATATTCAGTTTCTTAAAAAAAAATGGGACAGCTTCTATTAAAACCCTTGTTTCAGGCCATATTTGACTTCATGGAACTTCTAGATCATCATTTAATTTTGAACTTAATTTAAGAGCATTTTGTACTGCTGTCTCTGTCATGGAAAGTTATGTAATTCTATGGTGTTTCTGGTTTTATTTTTAATATTTTCATCTGTACCACAGTCAAACTAGCTACCATTTCCCCCATTCCTTGGGCTTTCTGTAGATCAGTGGATGTTAGGTTTAAACTTCTGTTTTATTTGATGAAGCTTTCAATAAAAAATGGAAATAAAATCAACCAAATAGGGCCATTGTGTTCTTCACTTTTCCAGAGGTGGGTTGAGGAAGGGGCTGGTGGGAGGGAGCAATGTCTATACATATTCAATTATTTATACTGCTGCTTCCTACAGAATTCCTCAAAGAAAGAACAATCCATGGAAACAAAAAGTGAGAGAGGAGGGAGCATTCTGTTCATGCAAGGAGACATGAGAAAACCACTATTTGGAGGTCGGGGTGGGGTGGGGAATAGACCATTTAGATCTTTCTAGGATCTAGTACACTCTTTCCACTTTTTAGGCTTTAAGATTTGGCAATCATCCAACGCCTATATCCAAACATGTCTAACATCTACCAGCTACTCGGTACATCTTGTGTGAAGGCAAGATAGTTATATGTAACACTAAAAACATGTGGTTTTTACCCCTGCAAGGATTAAATTCCAGATCAACCAAATTCAGAAGTGTCCATTTCTCAAGCTATGGATGGCTATGGTAAGCAAATAATCAGAAACTATCTTTCTCTGGTTCAGAAAAATCCAAACTAATTCAGAGCTCATATTCAAGGACCAAAAATATTCTGTGCTATAATATGAATTTGCTGTATTAAGAAGATTTGGTTCTACTCCAGAAGACAGGAAAACAAATGAGATGAGTAAAATTTACATGACGTGTTAAACACAACAAAGTAACCTTTAAGAAAGATGAGAGTGGCGTCAGAGGAATGGAGGCATAAAGGCAAATCTTTTCCTTTCCCCGAGATTTCAACAAGTTTACCAACTATAAATCAACAAAGAAATCCCTCCACAACACAGACGCACACCTGAGAAACCCACACACTTAAACATCTAAAGGTGGTCAACCTTGAATAAATGGAAAGTCCAGAAGGGAGGAAAGCACAGACAGACCATAGATGCTGTCCTGCAGCCAGGAACTCATGGGTTGGCTGGGAGAGGGGAGAAAGCCAGAGTTACCAAGCATTTCTCTTAACTGCACAGGAGGAACATAGAGTTATAGGGGGAGGGGGACAGCCCAGCAGGGCGAGCAGTGAGCAGTGAGAGAGTGAACAGTGTCTGAGTCAGCAGATGCCTGACAGAACACAGGGTTCTACTCCACTGTCAGGCCAGGTGGTGGTGTTTCAGACAAAGAAATGGAACCACAGAGTCCTGCTGATGATTGGATTCCCAAAACTCACCTCCTGTTGCCTTTAGAGTTGGGTCCAGGAGTATATTATCTGTTAACCAAGAGCTGTTGCAGTAGAATCAGTTTCCCTCTGTGATCCCCAGGAGGGGTCCTTGGGGTGGGACCGCATGGAGGTCAGGGGTCACCATTATGGTGAGGGCAAAACAAACTCCACCCCCAAGCAGCCCAGCTATACTGTCTTAATATTTTCATCAAGAAGGTTCCAGACTAGGAGACCACAGAGGTAAAAATCTTGCAATTCAGTGCTATCTACTGAAAAATAGTGGAAAGATCTCTTCAGAGATACTAGTAAATGTGAAAGCAAAGGAGGACAGCAAATAACATGAAGAACCACAGTAACAAAGATGACCAGAAAGAAAACAAAGAATCACCAGAAAGCAGGCTGGAACACATGGAACTATGTAACATAAATGACAGAGATTTCAAGGTTGCAGTTCTAAAAATATCAACAAGATAAAAGAAATCCTGATAGGCAATTCAAGGCACTCAAAAAAAAAAATCAATGAACAAAATGAGGATTTTATCAAGGAAATTGAAACTTTAAAAAAGGACTAATCAGAAATCCTGGAAATACAGCATGCAATTAAGGAGATTAAGAGTAAACTACTGAGCATAGAAAATAGAACCAACCAGATACAGGAAAGAATTAGTGATATAGAAAATAGGAATCAAGAAATGACGTAGAGGGAAGAAGAGAGAGACCCGGGAATAAAGAAAAATAAAAGAGCTCTATGAGACCTATCTGACGCCATCAGAAAAAGCAATGTTAGAATTACAGGTATTGTGGAAGAGGAAGAGAGGAAGCATGGAATGGAGAGTCTATTAAAAAAAATAGTGGATGAGAACTTCCCAAATCTATGGAGAGAACTAGATCCTCGAATCCAAGAAGCAAACAGAACACCTAGTTACCTCAATCCAAAGAGGCACTCTCCAAGGCACTTGGTATTGAAACTGTCAAAATTTAAGGACAAAAAAATCTCAAAGCAGCCAGGGAAAAGAAGCAAGTGACCTACAAAGGAAAACCCATCAGAATTTCATCTGACTTCTCAGTAGAAACTCCACAAGCCAGGAGAGTGGAAACAAAAATTCAAATGTCTGAAAGAGAGAAATTACCAGCCACAAATAATATATCCAGCAAAATTATCTTTTAAATATGAAGGAGAAATAAAGATGTTCCCAGACATACAAAAACTGAGGTATTTTATCACCAGAAAATCTTCATTGTAGGAAATACTCAAGGGAGTTATTCTACTTGAAACAAAGAACATAAGGTCACAATACTATGAGTAAGATCACCAAAAAACTTACAGCATAAACAGGAATAATTTGTGACAACAAAAACATAAAAGGGAAGGTGGGGAAGCTCAGGACTGGCAAAGGAAGATGAAGATTAGATGCACTCAAAAAGGAAAAAACTACAGTATATATGCAACTTCGTTTTTTATAAACCTAATGGTAACCACACACAAAAATCCCCAAGCTAGGACATATAGCTTCAAAAAAAGAGGAAACAGAGGAAAGATGTATGGAATACCACCAAACAAAAACAACAAACAGAAACATAAAGGAAAAGAATCAATACGGGCATAGAGCTACCAGAAAACAAAAGATAAAATGGCTATAGGAAATCCTCATACCTCAATAACTACCCTAATGTAAATGGTCTGAATTCACCAATAAAGAGGCACAGAGCAGCAGAGTGAATAAAAATAAATAACCAAACCAAACAAAAACAAAAAACACCAGCCATATGCATACAAGAGACAAATCTAAGCTGCAGGACAAAGGTTGATTCAAAGTAAAAAGGGTGTAAAATTATTCTCCAAGCAAATAACATCTACAAAAAAGCAGGTAGACATACTTATAACTGACAAAGTGGATTTCAAAATAACATGAGACAAAGATGGACACTTTATAATGATAAAGGGAATAGTACATTAAGAAAATATAACACTTCTTAATATATATGCACTCAACCAGGAGCACCAAAATATATAAAACAATGACTTGCAGAACTAAAGGAAGAAACAGATCAAAACACAGTCATAGTTGGAAATATTAATACCTCATTGATAGCACTAGACAGATAAACCAAACAAAAATTAATAAAGTAATATTGTCCTTAAATGAAACAGTAGACCAAATGGACATAAATCACATTTACAGAACCTTTCATCCCAGCACATCATATTATACATTTTTCTGCAGTGCACATGGAACATTCTCAAGGATAGACCATATGTTGGGTTACAAAACTAGCATCAACAAATTCAAGAAGACTGAAATTATACCAAGAATATTCTTTGACCACGATGCCTTGAAATTAGAAATCAGCTGCAAAAGGAAGACACACACAAATATGTGGAGATTAAACAACATACTACTAAAAATGACTGGGTCAAAGAAGAAATAAAAGATGAGGTCAAAAGATATATAGAGACAAATGAGAATGACAATACAACATATCAAAGCCTCTGTGATGCAGCAAAAGCAGTAATAAGAGGGAAGTGTTTATCATTACAGACCTATCTGAAGAAATAAGAAAATAACCTAACATCACATCTTAAAGTACTAAAAAAAAAAGAACAAAAACAACCCAAAGTCAGCAGAAGAAAGGAAATTAATAAAAATTAGAGCAGAATTAAATGAAATAGAGAAAAAGACTATATAAAAAAATCAATAAAACAAAGGGCTGGTTCTTTGAGAAGATTAATAAAATTGACAAACACCTAGCTAGACTCACAAAGGAAAAAAGGGAAAAGACCCATATAAACAAAATAAAAAATGAAAGAGGAGAATTCACCACAGACATCACAGATTTACAAGGGATCATGCTAGAATATTATGAAAGACTATATGCCACCAAAATCAATAACCTAGAAGAAATGGATAAGTTCCTAGAAATATATAACCTTCCTAGACTAAATCATGAAGAATTGGAAAATCTAAATAGACCGATCAGCAGTGAAGAAATTGAAACAACCATAAAAACCTTCCAAAAAACATTGAAAATCTTCCAAAAAATAAAAGTCCAGGACCAGATGGCTTCACCAGTGAATTCTACCAAACATTCAAAGAAGATTAAAAAACTTTCTCAAATTCTTCCAAAAAATTTAAAGAAGAGGCAATACTTCCTAACACATTCTATGAGGTCAACATAACCCAGATATCAAAACCTGGCAAAGATAACACAAAAAAAGAAAACTACAGACCAATATTTCTGATGAATACAGATGCAGAAATCCTAAACAAAATACTAGCAAATCAAATACAACAGTCAAAAAATAATACATCACGATCAGGGGTGGGGGGCAGGGAGGGAGAGTTTATTCCAGGGGCACAGGGATGGTTCAAAATATGCAAATCAATCAATGTAATACACCACATTAACAACAGAAAGGATAAAAATCACATGATCTTATCAATAGATGCAGAAAAATCATCTGATAAGATACAACATCCATTTACGATTAAAACATTAAGTAAAATAGAAATAGAAGGAAGTATCTCAACATAATAAAGGCCATATATTATAAATTCTCTGCTAATATCATACTCAATGGTGAAAAACTGAAAGCTTTTTCTCTAAAATCAGAACAAGACAAGGATGTCCACTCTCATTACTTTTATGCAACATAGTGCTGAAAGTCCTAGCCAGAGCAATAAGACAAGAGAAAGAAATAGAAGGCATCCAAATAGGGAAGAAAGAAGTCAAACTGTCACTTTTTGTGGACAACATGATTCTGTATATGGAAAACCTTAAAGACCACCAAAAAAACAATTAGAAACAATAAACAAATGCAGTCAAGTTGCAGGATAC